AGGTTTGGTGTAGGTTTTCCAAAATATGTTCCTGCATGTGACATATACAGTTATGGAATTCTTTTGATTGAAGTAGGATGTTGGGAAGTTCTCGGCGAGAAGCAATTTCCAAATATCGACTTGGAAGCTATGCAGCAGGTGAAAGAAAGTCTTGCGAACAAATGTGATGGCATATCTGTGGCTGACTATGGTGGATTGGTAAGCAGTTGTATTTTACGTGTCGCTGGCGACAGACCAGATATCACATATATTAGGGAGCGGTTAGACGAGGAGTCTCAGTCCAATATGGATCTTGATTAGCTGTGTCCTGTTATCAACATACAGGGCGTTCAAAGTTTGTCCATGGTAAGTCTCGAACAAAATAATGTACCGTACTTGTTGTCTAGATGGTATGTGCGAATTTAATCTTGACTTATTTTGAATCACATAAAAAAATTAGGATATGATATACGTATATACTGTATATATTGATTAAAATAAAAAGTGTTATATGGGGATACATAATATTGGTTAAAAAATTGCTAAAACTTATAATACTGAATATTTATCAATTAAGTGAAAAAAATTCTGTAAAGAAACTATTATACCGTTTAATTGTTATTTTTTTCCATTAATTGTCGATAATTTTAATGCATTACGATATATTCTAGGCTTGAAAGATTTAAATACAAGGATCATTGAAAAAAAAATGCGTATACTATAAAAAAGCTTTATATATAAATTCACAAATTATCATTCTAACAAAATCGCGATACTATCGGTTTGTAAATAATTGTAACAATTCTTATTCTCGTTAAATATGTCGCTATAATCATCTATATAATACTTTCCGATCTATTTGTTGCGATACTTTTTTCAACCTTAATTTCTATTTTACCTTTGTAAATTCTAAATGTTTTCCGAGTTTCAGCGATGAGTTCAGGCTGCGTAAGAGATGACAGGAACAAGACCACGAATTTTCATATAAATGATAGGTTTATATCCAAGTTAATAACAACCGCGTCTTATCCAATCATAATATTGTTTACTCGGCACATTAACATATCAACATATTGTAACGGTGTAACGGCGAGTCAGTCGCTCACTTTAGCAGAGATTCGCGTAACCGTTACTGGGTAAATGAATGAAAGGGTGATTTGAGGCATGTTTTTATTTGACCGAGTCTTTATTAATTTTTACTTCCTAATTTCGTGTCTCCTCCTCTACTTCTCTATACTTTATACCTTAAGTTTGGCTATGGCGGCTTAGAAATAATAATAATTGATGATACAGCGACATGGCTAAAGCTACATTACATAATTCTTTTCACAATCCTTCCCGTCCTTCCTTTATTACCTTATTATTACAGCCGACTTACCCATTGTTACGACGTCGGTCATGTGACTAACGTCGCGCCCATTTCTCCCTGTTACAATATCAACACAAAAGCACTAACATATCAATATATCAACACAAAAGCAAGATGTATACCTGATGTTACGAGAAGTATCTTTGGTTGGCGACAGAGCCTAGAATAATATACTCCTAGGTGTGTCTTCGATTTGGGTGGTATTGACTTTAACTTCTCTATCAACTAATGTAGAACCTCTACAGTGCTAATTTCCTTAGACAAAATCTTGATTCTTCTCCTTAATCACATAGTGCAAGTTACAAGTACTTTTGGCACACAAGAAAACAATATAAGAGTTATCCTCAAACTTTACTGTATTGTTTATTACTAATATTCTTCCACACCCTAAATGCTACTAAATTATGCATATATTTATACATGCACCTATTGTTTATATGTTTATACTCCATAACTTGTCACTATTTGCGATAACAATAAGTAACGTAATATCATATCACACGCCTGATTAAATTTACCTGTTACATATTAATAATCTAATTAATATTTAATACTTTATTAAACAATAGACCATCATACTATACACTTGAGGTTTAATTATAGTTATTTAAATAATAAAATAATTAAGAACACTCAAGAACAATTAATGTTTATATAATTAAAAATAATTTAAAACATTTTTAATAATAATTATAACAACTTTTTTAAAATAATAATCGATATACTGTAAATACAATTAAACTATTTGATTTTGGAAGAAATTTGGTAATTCTTTATTTTTTAATATTAGGATTTTAAAGAAGAATGTATAAAATAGATTTAATTCAAGTATAACTAAAAAACTTGTCTTTTACAATTGTTTATCTTATATTTAATTGTAAAGTTACTATTTAAAATTTTCTATTTTTTTTATTATAAAAACTCAAAACTTTATTAATATATAATAAAACTTATATACTGTATATATTGTCATATGTCAATCCAACCTCAAAGACTAGAATAGGATAAAGAACTGATAGCAGGAAGACACTTTATTTAGGACATAATTCTAATGTGATATGCTATAGTTTATAAAGAACATACTTGAGGTTTCCAAGATCATAAAGCAAGAGGTGTAACAATTATAATTGTATAAAGACAAATATAATTGTAGTGATTTGTAAAAAACTATTTATTATCAAAATATTATTACACTTCTAATTCTACCAATTCTATCTTTAATTCTTCTACAAGTCTTTCTCTATTTCCTTTACAATTTTTCTACAATTTCTCTATCATTTTCCCTCAATACACAAAATACATGATTATTCTATTTATATAAAAATAAATAAAGAATATAATTGGTATGCTAAATTATTAAGAGTAACAAATAATACAAATATGGAAATAGTTGATGAAAGACTAATTTGTAACATATTTTCCAATTCTTTACATTCATAACTTGGGGATTATCACTTAATCATATGATATAATTATATATTTTTGATTGTATATTATAAATATTTGATCAAAATCCTTGTTTATCGCAAAAATAGTGATTGAAATCTTTTTCTGGGTTCTAAGTAAAGTTGTTCAGCAGATAAAAATATTATAGGTATATTATTGGTAAATTAATATGTTGAATTTATTTTTGATATGAAATTTCCTATTTCAGAAAAGTTAAACTTTTAGGTTTAACAATATATTTAAACAAAAAAATATTTTTATATTTTTATTTTTTTAAATAAGCTATATTATACAAAGAATATTCATATTATTGTAAACACTTTTTATTATACAATAAAATAAATTAATAAGCAAAAAAATTTTTTATTATACTAAGTAAATATTTTTATAATATATTAAAGTATATTATATTTAAATTTTATATAATTGTAATGATTCACTTGAAGTTTATAATAAAAAACCTTTGTGCTACAAATTATTATCAAACCAAAATTACAAATTGAACAAAAAGCTTTTTTTTTTAAAAAAAAAACTCAAAGCTAATATATATTTTTTTAAAAAAAAAATTTAAGCTAATATTAAATCTTAATATTTTGTAAGATCTTTATTAGCAGCAATTCAAGTTGCAATATGATTCAGTATACTATTTACTAATCGGTAGCAAATTTCTGATAAAATGTCTTGCCAGGCTTGTTTAACAAAAATTTTGAGATTAGCAAGGTTATTAGGCTTTAGTTTGCAATATATAGATATCTTGACCTCATATTAGAAGTTCTTAATAAGATTTAGATCAGAACTCTAGGCAGACCAGTCTAATATTTTAATCTTGTAATCTTCAAAAAATATAATGGTAATTTTTAAAACATGAAGTCTTGCATTGTCTTACTGAAATAAAGTATAATTATAATTTGCATTTTCCAGATATTTTTTAAGGTGAGTATAACATACAGTATTTGCATAAAATCTTAATATATTGTTATTGTAAAAAAAGATAGTAAAGAAAATATAGAGAAAATATATAGAAAGTATAATTTGTATATTAGATATAAAGTATATATCAGGTATAAAATGTATATCAGGTATAAAATATATATCAGGTATAAAGTGTATATTGCAAATAAGTATATAAGTAACAAGAATATGGTCAAAAAAAAGAAGCAATCAATATAGGTACTGCACAACTTTCTCCTTACCCATCCTATTTTGTTGTTGAACATTTGCCTCATTATATAACCCCAATACACTATATTCGTGGGATTGCTATACTTGTTACAACCCCCTTGTAACACTGGATCTATTGATAGATCTGTGTTATTATCTGACAGCTCAGACCAAATTCACATGCCTCTTTTGAGGAGAAGACCTGCTTATTGTTACACAGCATGAGGCAAGCTCAAGTGACTGACTCGCTGGATTTTTACATTAATAATATATAGATTTATTGAATATCCTGCATATGTTATATTCAATAATTTTTAATTACATTCAAATTTAGTTAAGCTGCATAAAGATGGAACCTCTGGTCTTTCTGATAATTACAGGCAAAAAACAGATCAAAGTATAAAAGATTGCATAAGAAAAGGTTTCTGGTCTAACTCTGATAAAAGCTCACAAAAATCTCAATTCTAACTGACAATGATAAATCCCATCATATAATTCAAAAAGGTTAATTCCAAGTTAATCTATTCAAATCTGGAGCTTGATGATCTATCCTATAAGTAGTATTCTTCTGAACTTAAATGGATCAAAAAGGCAAAAGATTATTAGCTATAGGAGATGATAATCTAGGCAAAAATCATTAAGACTAAATATATCTAGTGAAGATCATCAAGATTAAATCAGAATTCAAGCAAGGACACCAGTTCCACAGGTGATAAAAACAGTAGTGCTATATTATGCTAGTAATATATTTCGAGGATCAGTGATAACAGGTGACTGGAATGACTAAAGTTAATCTCTATAATAACATTCCATATTATACTGCTCTTTGCAATATGGACTTAATAGGTTAGGTGGGTTTTAAACTAGTGATAGGATTTCCTTCTTGCAGAAAGTTCCATCTGACATGTGGATATATTTCTAGATATTTAAATAAATGCATAGTTGGGTTATAAGTAATTGGTGTAGCTAGTCTTATAGCAATATACAGAGTGTGATCACGGATATCAGAACAATTATATTTTTATTATTTTTTTTACATTTTTTTATTTACATGTAGTATAAATTATTAATTACACATTACCTCCACCTCTTATAATTATATTAATATATAGTTATGTATATTAGCATCTAATTTATTTATTAAAATTCAATAATTATAAAAAGTAAAAAATTAATTGCTAAGCAATATGGAGCAATTCTCTATGGATATTTACATAATGACTCATAAAAAAATTGTCAAAAGTATTCAGTATGGCAAGACCGCCGATTTTACTATTATAAAACAATATAAAGAAACAAGATCCACAACACTTCAGAAATGAAATAACCCAAAACCAATCTTTAA